CAAGCCCCAGTCCTACTGAGCATATGCCTTTCCTAATATGCTATATCTTTCCAGCTGGCCTTTTCCAACTATTATTGTATTATAGTCAATTAAAATTTACCCCGTAAAACATCCGGCATGCCCTAATAGACTTAGGCGGGCAGGCAGTACTCCCAGCACCGTAGAGATACCGGGGAGCCTACGGTGGGGTAGCCTACGGTGGTCTGGCTGCCAGGATACTTAATCGCTATAGCCTTGAAAGTTATCGCATAATTACGTTGTTAGGGTCATTTACAAACAAACAACGCAGAAAGTGACAAATCGCTTGGTAATTATCGCTTTTCAGTCATTATTATCTGCTAAATCAGACAACTTTCTCTCACAATGGTCAATGGATTTATCGTCTGCAACTGATGACGTCATGACAGAACCCATTCTACTCGGGATAACGCTTCTTCTGACGTCACATAATTATGCCAAATATGGTCAAGTCGCCAGTAATGGCGATGGCCATTCCAAAAATGTCCAAATTTGGTGATGTTCTGACTACTGGACTTTTCTTAGCATTATTACAGTCTTACCATCCAAATATGGGCATGTCGGCCATTAGCCCTCTAGCAGTTTCCTGGTATCTCACACAAGGCCAGGTCAAAGATCATAGGTTAAACAAGGACGATCTATGGCTACATGGTGAGCCATACTGTCACGCTTAGGAAACGTAACGTTGACTCCCAACATCTGCTTGGAGGTAACTTACGATGACCTCCAATGTTGAAAAGATTTTAAGCATTACCAACACGTGGCAAAATTTCATTGAACATGTAGTTATTATGAAAAATTACCCTGAAACAAGAAGAAACGTGCGGTAGGAACTACTAGGAAGTATATTGCAATTGTACGGTGTGAAACAAGTTTGAACTGCAATATCCAACACAAGATATTGGACTTACCCAAAGTTTCGACTGTACAACTCCAGTCTTTGTCAAGATTGACATTTGGTTGAGTCTTGATGTTTCAAACTTTCATAATGACTTCTACCAAAACAGATAATATTGTACGGTATAGAACAGATAACTTACGGATATTTTTGTTCTGTTGTTCTGCAGAGTGAAGTCCGTCTGATGACGATGCGGCACAACCTGCACCAGCTGTACCCGTTCCTGGACGTGCTGGAGGTGGATGAGGGGGAGGCCGTGGTGAGAGAGGCGGGAAGGCTGGAGGAGAAACTGTCCCGCCAACTGCAGAACGTTCTGTCCCACACGAGAAGTCTCATGCGAGCCATTAGTACCACGGTAAGGAACCTTTTAAGGCATCTAATGCAATTTTAGGGCGACAAAACATAAGAAAAAGATTAGAAAGGTTATCTAATGCAATTTTAGGGCGACAAAACATTAAAAAAAAGATTAGAAAGGTAACATTCGCAAAGCAAATGCATAATGTTTACCTTCGCATATGAACTGCTCTGTTAATTCTTACTCAAACACATTCATATATGTGGTCGGGCAGGAGTCTAAATCCCTCCTGCTATGAAATTGCAACATGATGTAACCCAACACTAGTTACCATGGTGACAGACGTCTGGTGCAGGTCACCTACGATACAATTGGGGATAGGGGATGAATGAAGCTTATGTATGACTACAGTTTATGTTTGTCCGCGTTTTTTATGGGTTCGCAAAGCCAGCATACAAAAATATAAAAATTAGAGCACAAAAAATAAATAACACAAAAGTTAGATTTATTTCATTGAACATACATTTTTGCTTGATAGTTTTCAAGATGATTTAGTTTGTACACATGTACGTCCACAGAACACAACCTGGTCCTTTGTGGCATGTCAGTTGTGTGAAAACGAAACAGACTCAGAGTCAGAGTCAGAGGTATGCAACAGTACCATTGTGGCCTGCTTTGGTGTGGAATGGGCTATACTGTTGTAAAATGCCTTCAAATAATTAATATTAAATAATTATTAACTAACTAAGGTGTGGAAAGAGGGAAAGGTGCAGGAAAAGGCTTTCAAGTATAAGTGTAAAGAACTTGAAAGGACTTAAGGTGCCAATAAAGCATGATAAAGAGCTTTAAGGCATCTAATGCAATTTCAGGGCAACAAAACATGCAAAAATTATATTCGAATTAGGGAATTTGTCTGATATTGATTTTTTTACTGTCATTTCTTAGCACATTTTCGCCATCATTTCGAATTATTTGATACTCGAGGCGTTTGAAAGAGCCCCTAAACATGTTGGGCGGTGTCCATTTTGTTGGACACCGCCAATAAATAGAACAAGCCTACGATACAATTGGGGGTTTTAAGCTTAATCCAAGACTACAGTTGATCTGTCCGCGTTCTTATGGGTTCTCAAAGCCAACATACAAAAATATAAACATTAGAGCACAAAAAATAAATAACACAAAAGTTAGACCTATTTCATAGAACATACATTTTTGCTTGATAGTTTTCAAGTTGATTTAGTTTGTACACATGTGCGTTCACAGAACACAACCTGGTCCTTTGTGGCATGTCAGTTGTGTGAAAACGAAACAGAGTCAGAGTCAGAGTCAGAGGTATGCAACAGTACCATTGTGGCCTGCTTTGGTGTGGAAATGGGCTCTACTGTTGTATAATGCCTTCAAATAATTAATATTCAAACATTTCTAACTAACTAAGGTGTGGAAAGAGGGAAAGGTGCAGGAAAAGGCTTTGAAGTATAAGTTTAAAGAACTTGAAAGGACTTAAGGTGCCAATAAAGCATGATAAAGAGCTTTAAGGCATCTAATGCAATTTCAGGGCAACAAAACATGCAAAAATTATATTCGAATTAGGGAATTTGTCTGATATTGATTTTTTTTACTGTCATTTGTTAGCACATTTTCGCCATCATTTCGAATTATTTGATACTTGAGGCGTTTGAAAGAGCCCCTAAACATGTTGGGCGGTGTCCATTTTGTTGGACACCGCCAATAAATAGAACAAGCCTACGATACAATTGGGGGTTTTAAGCTTAATCCAAGACAACAGTTTGTCTGTCAGCGTTCTTATGGGTTCTCAAAGCCAACATACAAAAATATAAAAATTAGAGCACAAAAAATAAATAACACAAAAGTTAGATTTATTTCATTGAACATACATTTTTGCTTGATAGTTTTCAAGTTGATTTAGTTTGTACACATATGCGTTCACAGAACACAACCTGGTCCTTTGTGGCATGTCAGTTGTGTGAAAACGAAACAGACTCAGAGTCAGAGTCAGAGGTATGCAACAGTACTATTGTGGCCTGCTTCGGTGTGGACAGGGGCTATACTGTTGTATAATTCCTTCAAATAATTAATATTAAATCATTATTAACTAACTAAGGTGTGGAAAGAGGGAAAGGTGCAGGAAAAGGCTTTGAAGTATAAGTTTAAAGAACTTGAAAGGACTTAAGGTGCAACTACTAAAGCATGATAAAATGAAAACAACAAAGCGCAATAACTTCAACTTTTAAAACTAACTTCAGAAAAAGAATTTTGTAAAAAAAAAAGAAAATTGCAAAGTGTGGAGTTTTCTGGCTAAATTGTTGTGATAAAAGTTTTAAATATGTTCAAGTTAAAACTTTTGATCCAACACTTAAGTTGTCTCCCGTGGAGTTTTCGACCAGTCACTCTGGTCTTCCTCAGTAGACTGACCCAATGGGGCTTGTCACGTGGCTTCTTTGAAGTGTGACATCAACACTGGGTCAGTCTACTGATGAGGAAGACCAGAGTGACCGGTCGAAAGCTCTAGGTGAGAGAACTGTTTTGTATTGGATCAAAAGTTTTAACTTTAAACATGTAACTACCAACACAGATAAACTTTCATGAAGTTGCCAGTATGCTAATTCTTACTTGGTTCTATGTTTTTACAGATGCACTTGATGAATATTGAGAACGATGAAACGGACAACGCGACGCCAGCGCCCGTCCACCTGTCCGAAACGCCGTCCGAGTACGACCGGAGCCTCCGAGACCACATAATTATCCGGGACTTCGTGGACTTTCTGAGGAGAGTCCAGCGGGACTTCATGAAGCTGCGGTACAACAACGGCTGCCGCAGGACGACGCGCAGCCCCACCCACACCGGCAGGAGGTCGTGACGTCGCCAACTCGTGAGCACAGCTTCGCGTTTCTGATGACGTCGTCAGATCGAACTTGCCAAGGAAGAAGAAGAAGAAACAGACCATTTTTTGATTGAATTGAACCCCGTGCCAATGTGAAAAAAAACTTAAAGAGAAAGAAACTGTAGAGTATTTTTTCCAAGCGGGTAGTATAAGCAGTAATTTCATTCGCAGGTAATAACTTTTATTAGTCTGTTCCAAGCCGCATCATCTGTGACGTAATCCAAGATGGCGGCCATCACCACCTGCTTCTCTCTCACGCGACATTGTGTTTGAACTTTGACCCCTGGTTGCCGGGCAACCGTTCCTTATATCTATATGACCAGTTTCCAAGAGCGATCGGTAGTGTACTGTATTTTGATACTGTTAAATTAAGGGTTTCATACGGAGTTTTGTATATTTTTTATACTTCTCATGAAATATGCGAAGTTTGTTGCATAGTGATTCCGACACACGCTGTTTTTAAATGCTGCTAGTTAGGTCCTGATGTGTATGTGCGTGTGCAATATATTTATGTCGGCATGACATAGTATTTATTGTGTATCATAAAACACATTTAGCTATAGCAAAATCTTATATGGAAAACACAATGTATCCTGGGTGCTACCAACGTATTGTGCCAGAGAATATTAAGAAAATATCAATATTTAAACGAAGATAGATATCTATAAAATTTCTTAACTATACACTAGATGAATTGTACATAAGATAGCGGTTTTGTGGTAGGTTTACGGTTAAGCTTATTTATTTTGTGTGTGTTTTTTAATTTATTTTATCCATAAGGTTATACCGTACTTTTCATTCAGTTATACTTCTGATATTTAATTTATCACGCGATTTTGATCGCAAGTTTGTCTTTTTTCAATGCTATTTATTACTGTTATTTATCAGATTCCCCTTACTTATTTATACCAAAGAATTTGAAAACCAAAGTATCGTTAAAATGTGTGTAATTCTCCAGAGTTGAATGAATAAAGAGTTTTTTTACAAGGACTTAGACGTTTCCTCGTCTTTTCATGAAGAAAGGATGGATAAATATGAGGATAAATATTCATGAACATCACGAAGAATTAAATGTCTTAAACAGGCTAAAAAGGAAGAAAATGCAACATTGTATATTCTTTTCATTGAATCAAAGGGTAGTAGGTAAAGATTTTGACACAGGAAAATCTTTTCATATGGATATATAAGAGGCCTAAAATACATTATCCATGCTAAAGTTTTAGTCATCGCACTCTTTAGTTAAAAACTTCATGATCATTTAACGTGGGAGTAGGTTAGACTCCCCGTTTCCCTTGTTAATTGTAAAGTTAAATCTTAGTCTAAATCTAAACGTAATAAGAGTGGGTGTGTGGGGTGGGGGCGAATAATTGGCTAAGTTTTCTGAAACCATCTCCTCTGAACTTTGAAGCCTACCCTAAAGACATGTCCATCATCTAAGACTTTCTACCAGTAGTGAATGATAAAAGACCCCCCTAACACCCCCTCTATCTTGAGGGCTAATTATCTGTGTCCCCCCATACATACCCCTTAATCTTCTTAAACCCCTGTCTGTATGACTAAACTCCCCATTCTGACTCCAATTAGTGACCTGATGATGCCCCCCTCCCCCTCCTGACTCATAGAATGCAATCAGCCGCCATCTTGTTTCGTTCAAGGTCAAAACCGATTGGAACATTATTAGCCTCTACCAGGCTTCAGAAGCGGCTGGAAAGAGTAGAAATTGGCCAAATAGAGAGATAACATGCCTGGAGAGTTAGTCTAGCCTCCAATAGGCTTCAGAAGCGGCTGGAAAGAGTAGAAATTGGCCAAATAGAAAGATGATATGCCAGGGAAGTTTGTCAGCGCTATTAAAAAAGGTTCTGTAGCGGCAAACTCCGAATTTACCACTGGAAGAATAGCTGAATGCTAAAGATAACTGTGCATCCAAAGAAAGTCAAACTCTTCTCTTATTAGCGTGGACCAAATTCCCTGGCATGTTATCTGTCTTTTTGGTCAATTTCTACTCTTTGCAGCCGCTTCTGAAGCCTGATAGAGGCCTATCCTTGGCTAGGACCAACTCCCCTGGCATGTTATCTGTCTATTTGGCCAATTTCTACTCAATCCAGCCGCTTCCCGAAGCCTGGTAGAGGCTATTTGAACATGGCAATTGTCTTGCTTAGGCAATTCTTTCTAACGCCTTATATGGAGACTTGAGCTGTGACCAAGTGTTACCAACGTCACTGTGCATTCCGTATGTCCTGTGGCTAGTTTCCTTCAAAGATGATGTTCTCCAAATTTATTCATTGAAGTTCAGGTTCAAGTCAAGCCCACTATTGTACTTGGGGACCACTCCGCCCTTCGGCTGGCCGCTTCATGTTGTGACGCCCCCTCCCCCCTTTGGGGAAATAAATTTTAGGATCGATACAAAAGTGACCTGAAACATGCTCTTGTACAAAATACGTGCTTTTGGCCATTCGATAGTGCACATATAAGGGTGACACAGGGTAGGGTCCAGGATTCTTGTCTCTCAGCGTTTCGCAATGATTGCTTTAAAATGAGCACAACCTGAACAGACTACACTAGTTGCTCACTAGTATGCTGTTGAAAGTTGATTTTCTTTTCCTAATTCTGAAGAAATGAAATTTTGAATATGTTATTAAAACCTTTCTGATCTGTAGAAGAAAATGGAAAGGGGAAAGAGTGGAGGGGGGGGAGTAATTTTGCTTCACTGCTACACTAGTCGTCATTAATTGCTTCTTTGTGACACATTTTAAGTAAATCTGATATCAGTAGTTCCCATACTTAATTACCGTGATAATTGCGGTTTATTGCTATTCAAAAAGCTACAATTTCCTTCAAATTACCAGTACAAAAAAAAAGCCTAAATACACGCCAAAAATAAGCCAAAACCCAACTTGCTACCAGTGGGACTCAGTTGAATGAAATTTTATCTTTTTCAAATCCCAAACCTCTGCTTGGAGAGTAACACGTTACAACTAATTGGTTTTCTACAAAGAATCTCTCCTCTACAAGGTGGTCCGGATACGGCGACAAGTGGTGGGTAATTGGGTACATGTTTGCGTCATTCCTCAGGTGACCTTTTGACCCGAAGGTCGCGAGCCGTCGCCAGGCATGAGGGCCTGCATGGGGGGGTCCCGACAACGCTCTACGCTGAATTGCTGAATTTGAGAGCCGGCTGCGTATTACGCTACAGTAGCTCATACGCTTTACGATAAATTCCAAGTGGCTACAACGCATTACGTAGAATTAAATCGCGAATTTTAAGCTCAACGCTCTACGTAGAAAATAAAATGACCGATTACGCTCTACCGAAAAGGGCATGCGGACCCCCAGGCCTGTGTCGCCGGTGGTGGCGTGGGTTACGTAACACTAACAGTGGAAGTGGCCTGGACGCGCGGTCTCCGAATACTTGAAATTCTTCCGTAAATAAACGATCTTTCACCACCAAACAAAAGGAATCGATTGAGGAAAAGAAAAATGTTGCGAAATCGCCCTCAAGGGAAACCAAAGCATGGGAAGGTGAGTGAAGTCTGCTATAAACTGGTGGATGTCCCAACTACTAAGTACCTAATACCAGCCTAGAAGAGAACAAGAAATAGCCACGCATTCAAGTACCAGAGTTATCAACCAAGGATTGAGGTGTTCAAGAATGCATTCTTTCCTAGAACTATCGCAGAGTGGAACTCACTGTCACCAAGTACAGTAGGGGCACTGTCAATAGATAGCTTTAAACAATGTCTAGAGCTAGAAGTTCAAGGGTTAGATGGAACAACTCGATCGGTGTAATATAGCCAGCTGCCGCCGCGCCGCGTGCCTGCGAAGCTGGTGTGTTACGCCGAAAGGCGGTTATACCGGCTATACAGATACAGAAGCTGGTGTGTTACGCCGAAAGGCGGTTATACCGGCTATACAGATACAGATATAACAATAGAAGTTTATTGCAAATCCATGCCCGAAGGCTAATTGCAAGTTACAAACATTAAACAACATTGAAACATTGAGTATAAAATAGCTTCAAAATCTAGATAATGAAAACTAGTTGTCTAAAATTATGGCTATGTCTAAAACTATGTCTAAATATTATGTTATATATTATGTTATGCCACTTCTCACAATTCTACCGAATGCCCTGGCCTAACAAAAAGAAAGGGAATGAAAAAAAATGGCGGTGATTTTAAATGATTTAGTAATGCCGTTTCAGTTTCAGTGTCGTAATACATACTTCAGATATCCAGTGTTCAGGACATGCTTACTAAGAAAACCTCCGTAGCAAAAGACTAAGTAGTACTTTTTCAGTTGATTCTTATTCTACATTTGTGGTGACAACAACGCTCTAAACAAGCGCATTGTTGCATGTTGCCCACTGACCACTCGACATGTCACAGTGGTGCCTACATGTACAAGTGGTGGCCTCTCGTATTTTCCAAGTTGCCACACTCCACCCAAACTTTACTCGGTCCCCATGACACATTGACGCAGTTATCTAACACAAATTAAAGTCTTTCTACTGACCACTCTACAAATTACAAGTGTATAGAATTCCAACCCATCCAAGTGGTCACCTTTCCAAGTTGCCACACTCCACCCAAACTTTACTCGGTCCCCATGACACATTGACGCAGTTATCTAACATTTTCCCACGTTCACACGCACGAAATCACCTAAGTACACAGCTTACCAACAAAAGGGCGAGTTTAAGTGTCTTGTTGATCATTTACGCACCTGCCAAGAGTGGCTGTTAGTCAGTAACGATCGATGGGTTGTAAACTGTGGATAATTGGGAGTTTCCGGTCGGAGAGAGACCACCAGAGGTGGCCTGTTATCGAGATTACGCCTGGAGGAATGTGTGAGTTAACGAGCTGTGGTATCAGGGAGGAAAGAAGAAACTTCCTTCCTTGGATACACCTGCTTCTAGTTCTAGAAACACTCTGACGGCCGGACCACCTGTAACAGTAACTTAAAGTGTTTCCGTTTCGTAAATATGCCATATCGCTGACATTTGCAGGAGCAAAAACGTATAAAACGTACAAAAAGCAACATTTTGATGCCCGTCACATTATCGGTGGCAACTATAAGACAGCATTGTGAAAAATGAAAAAGGGCCGGATTCCAAAACCCTAGTTCTCTACACCTTGTGGTGTTGGGGTGGGTTGTTATCTAGACTACAGCTACAGGGATGTGTGACATGAAGGGCTGGTTAATGAGCTGTGGTATCAGCGAGGAAAGAAGAAACTTCCTCCCCTTAGATGCACCTGCTTCTAGTTCTAGAAAGAACCTGACGGGCGGACCACCTGTAACTCACAACTCAGTATTTCCGTCTCGTAAACGGTCATTTGAAACGGTCGATGCCACATCGCAGACAACTACATGCCATATCCGAACGTATCCTAATTTTTTAGAGGCAAAAACCTATGAAAAGCAACGTATTGATGGCAGCTTTAACACAGCATCGTGAAAAATTTTTTAAAAAGCATAATGTTTCTGTCTACTAAACTGTCATTTGAAACGGTCAATGCCATTTCCGAACGTATCCTAATTTTCTAGAGGCAAAAACCTATGAAAAGCAACGTATTGATGTCAACTATAACACAGCATCGTGAAAATTAGAAAAAAGCATAATCTCAAAACCCTATTCCTCTACACCTCGAAACATTAAAATGTTAAGGTGGGTTGTTATCTAGATTACAACTGTAGGAATGTGTGACATGAAGTGTTGGTTAATCTGTGGTATCAGGGAGGAAAGAAGAAACTTCTTTCCTTTGGATGCACCTGCTACAAACCCGAATTCATGCTGACCGACCACCTGCACCTATTACTAGTACAACCTGTTTCCTCGACACTTAGTCTATCAACGAGATAAGAAGAAGATCAAGCGCTTTCTGTCTATATGAGTGGAGTGCGATTTCCCTTTGTCAGTATACAGTAAACGTCAATCTTAATTTGTCTAAATGTCTCTAAAAAGGAAATCTATTGAGCAAAATCTTCTCTTTAGAAATTAGCTGGATTTTTTATCGCTCTTGTGTTACATGTTTTATTCCCAATGCTGTAAATCAAGCAATCGTTTATGTGTGGCCTCATATAGCCTTATTCCTAGAAAGACCTTCATCTACAATATCCGCTCGGCGTTAATAACGTTAATAACGTTGAATCACGAGATTATGATGAGGGTTTCGCAGAAATCCCGAACAGTCCGCTCGGGGAATTGTTTGATTTATGACTTGCCTGTCATGTCCCTTTGTCTCCGCTATGTGGCGCCACTGTTCAGACAAGAACATAAGTCATGCCACGCACATGCAGTCACGAACTAGAAAGGTAACATTTGCAAGGCAAGTGCATAATGTTTACCTTCGCATATGGTCTGCTCTGTTAATTCTTACTCAAACACATTCATTTATATGGTCAGACAGGAGTATAAATCCCTCCTGCTATAAAATTGCAACATGATGTAACCCAACACTAGACCATTACCATTGACCCTTTTGCCTTCGGTAAACATATTAAAATATGCCAAAGCCCAAAATTCTAATCTCCAAGCAGATCATAGGGTGGCAAAGGAGAGTATCAAATTGGCCTGGTAGTATCCATTGGCCAGAAAGGGTCCAATGTGCCACCAAAGCCCAATTGATACTGCCTGGCCGATTTGATACTGTCTTTTTTTTATTTTTTTTTTTATTTGCAAATTCAACAAGGACAATACAAGACAAGGTGGTGAGGTACTCTAGCTGTTGCTAATTTTAGCCTCACCACCAAACATAGAATACAATTACAATACATAACAAAAAACAGAGAACAGCAAATGGTTGGGATGGGTCGTTAAATAGTACAAGGAAATGTTTAGTAGGCTATATGATAAATCAATCGAGTACAAACCGTTTGGTATCAACAATATAAGTTTGAGTGGTTAGCAAGATATTACAGTTTGTATCATAGTATAAATCAGGTAATCCTCTAAGTAAAATATCACATAACAATTGTTCAGACATATTGAAAACATCAAAATCAAAGCCTACCACATTCTGGAGATTGCTGAGTAGGGTAACTCTTTGTTGATTATATAAAGGGCAGTGTAAAAGAAAATGTATGACACTCTCACAACGAGACCCGCAGATACAAGCAGCACTAGGGGCTAAATTTCTTAAGAATAAACTGTGGTTAAGACTACAGGTCCCGATGCGGAGACGCGTGAGTAATGCGCAGGTGTACCTGGGGCCAATGCTAAAATGTCGGTAAAAAGGGGAACGTACTGACTTTACTAAGTACTGTCTTTTGCCACCCTAGGATCTGCTTGGAGATTACAAACCTCTGCTTGGAGAGAAGTCACGTACTGCGGAAGTAGAGCGAACTATTCACGGATCATAAACCATACGGAATAGCCGTATAACGACTGGTTTTAATAGCACCACATCACGACATAGCTTCCGAGAAATCCAAGCCCTGCAATATGGTAATCTCTCTATCTATGATATCATAATGCAGTAGTAATGAATAACTCAATGAATGGATGAATGGATGAATGAATGAATGACGTTTATTGTATGTTTATGCTGCCTGATATATTACTACATCTATAGTATACTACATACGCACTAGTAATATGTACAGGTTCAGCTTCTTCCTTCTGAAGTGAAGACAGTTGTAGGTGTAAGAACAGAAGATATTGAAAATTCGGGTTTCCAAGCCCTAAAAACTGCATTAGATGCCTTTAAGCTTATTTGTCCGTAGAAAAGATTCCATGCAGATTCCATACACTCACACAGATTTCATACACTCCCACAGCAAACAACTGCCTTTTCTAGATCCCCAAATGATGTGCACGTACATATATATCTGCCTTGCCTTTCACATACAATGTATTATGCGTCCTCTAGCGATATGAATGTGAACGTCAAGCAAACGTCCATACGTGTGTAACTGTTGTCCTACCACACTGCCGTCACTGTGGTAAGTTTGGATCCAGGTTTAGGGGTGTATTTAGCCTCTACCAGGCTTCGAGAGGCGGGTGGAAAGAGTATAAAATTGGCCAAATAGAGAGAGATAACATGCCAGGGGAGTTGGTCCGCTGGAGAGTGTGGCAGAATGTACTCTCGAGCGAACCAACTCCCTCTCTCTATTTGGCCAATTTCTACTCTTTCCAGCCGCTTCTCGATGCCTGGTAGAGGCTGGGGCGTATTGCCTACGATAGGTGGATCACCTGTCGTTGCAATTTCTGTACTATTCAGTTAACTCATTCCGAAGTTAACTTTAGATTTTTTAAATGATTATACGGGTGTTGAGCGATTGAACAAAAGAGGGAGGGGCTAAAATGACATGTTACCGTCAAAATCCCCTAGTTGTAGATTTTATTCTGCTAGACATTCACAATTTAGATATCAACTAGAACCCTTGCTATATGTTACAATTATATTGACACAGATACACAATTAATTGGAACGTCTAATTCTATTAATTAGAATATCTTAAACATCAATAAACTAAAGGTGGTGAAGGACCTTTAGAACACCCATTTAAAGGTCATGGTATGTTGACGTCACGCATTCATTGCGAGGGACGCTCAGTAGACAAACCAGTTTTGTTAGTGCGTTCTATCTATAGAACGTCCATGGTAAGCCCTGATCATAGCAACTCACCTTAGCTGAGTTGTACGTTTATACCAACTTATATACAGATACTTGCAGAAATCCTTTATAAGTTCCTTACAATAAGAACAGAAATATGCGCACTTATCGAAAGAATTGTCCAAACATATTATGACGTCCAAGCACTACGATGTAAATGAAAAACCAGGTAAATTTGTTCATACATGTTTCAAAAAGAGAGACGAGATCCTGTAGATATAGACGTATCACAGTAATGTAACACTTGTTCCTCCTACCCTTCGACTTTATTTGGATCCCTTGTACCTAAGGTATCTAACCTAGTGCATGCATTTGGCCCATGTGGGGCATGAATATGCAATAAAGTAACCCTTTTTTCATTATTTTTTCAGTAAAGCACAAGCCATATCTACAGCATGCTTCACGTTACAACCACATGTAAAATTTTGATCAGGACTTGCCACAAGTTAGCACACAATAGAGACATCATGTGTAGACTCCTAGTCGTGGTGTGTTTTGGGACATTGCTTTTCTTCTACCAATGGCACCACGTCGCCTCTACACGGTATATAAACTCAATCACAGGAAAAAGTTTGAACCAACAAAGCATGGGGACCAGGGAAATGGTTACATCGATACAAGGAAAAGGAACGGTCACATGGAGAAATATAACGCTGAGGTACTTAACTATGTTTACCTTCGCTGAGGAAAACATATTATTTTTGCTCTGTTTCTTATTACTATTATTATTATTGTTATTATTCCCCAAACACATAAGGTCAATGACGTGGACCAGACGTCTGCAACCACGGTAACTGGCGCTGTAGCAACAATCTGTGGTGTATGTATGTATGTAGCAAGTTGGAAGGGTTGGTCACCATATGCATGAATGTGTCTGAATAAGAATAAACAGGGCAGTATAGTTTGTGGAGCTTTTTTTTCAAATTGGAGACTTAACTGCACTATACGGCAATAGAGGGTGCTTACATTTCCAAGCTATACAGATTACAACGATACAAAGTTAATATTAATACTGTATGACCTATGTAGCAGTTTTTCTTCATCAGTCGTCTGCGACAGAAACACACATGTGACTGCTCCAAATCCATGTCCAGCATGTACGCAGCGATAGATACCGAGGAAAGGAGCGCGTTCAACCGACGCCGAGTCAAGCAACTCGAGAAGTACCACAAAAGGTAACATGCCTTCAACAAAAATGTCCCTGTAGTTACAAAACAAGCTGCTAGAGGGTCTAAAAGTTATCTGTAACCCAAAACTTCATGACAATGTCATGTCCAAAAGCGAAGATAAACAAAAACCAAACTTTTCACTGTAGTGTCATAGAAAACCACCATAATCGGCCCAAAATTACACCAAAATTGTGCTATATGTTTGACAATCCAACATAGATACACTGTATATCAATGACTTTATGAACCATATTAATGTTAATATTCATGTAAATGTTAATGAACGTCAATGTACAATAAGATGTAATTTAGCATATGGCTGCAAAGTTCTTGTTTTATGAATAAAACTATTTGATTGATTGATTGATTGATTGAAATAAGATCTAAAAGATTTTGCATTGATTTTATCACCCAGACTCGAGTCTTCACAAGAAAAACTGTACATAGTAAAAGGGTCGGTCCCACTAAGTTACCCGGTCAGAGGGTTAACAGTCGCACCGGAAGGTACCATTGCGATCCGAGGTAAGAAGATTTTGTTGATTTGTCAAAGAGAAAAAAACTCATTATTGATTAAAACAATGACTTAATCAAGCAAGACGTGGAATGGGGAAAATAATCATATTTCAACATTTTCAGGTCTTGAAGTGTTGGATACAAAAGAAAGACTGGAATATAAGGTAGACTTACTTCTTTGATAAATATTTGACAACTGCATGAATGTATGTATGTATGTATGTATACATTAATGCAATAAATAAGCAATCTAATAAAATAAAACCCATGCCAGTTAAATTTGATAGGAATTTACCTCAGTCTTTATCTGTATCTGTATAGCCGGTATGATCGCCCTTTGGCGTAACACACCAACTTCGCAGGCACGCGGCGCGGCGGCAGCTGGCTATATCACACCGAACGACTTGTTACACTCAATCTTTGCACATTTAATTGCAGGATTTGTTTAAAGCTATCCAGTGATGATGCCCCTACTGTGCTTGGTGGCAATAAGTTCCAGTCTACGATAGTTCTTGGGAAATACGAGTTTTTGAACACCTGTCATTAGAATTCCTTTCAGTTTCCTTTTTGTTTCGTAATAGATTCAACTGGTGACATCTAAGTATGGAATACTTGACGTCACGGCCGAAGTCTCCGAAGTGCATTCGGAAGGACTCGGGGAGAAGTCGTTGACCATTCGGAGCCGAAAATTACCGAAGATTAACCACCAACTCCAGTATGTGGTGTACTCCAACACAGTGTATGACGTCGGAGCAACAGAAATCAGTAAGTTTTTTTTAATAATTTCAAGAAAAAGTATGAGAAAAAGGGCACGCAGAATAGAAATAGGTATTAGTTAATTTGTAGTTTAATACATAATGGTAAATCACCTAGTTGAAGAGTTCAGAACTGTTTTAAAACCTTATGAATATCTTTTATTAAACACCATTGTCATTTTGTATTAGCAAACAATACATGGGCAGGAAATGATAATCATAGTAATATACATTTAATTTAAATGATTTGGTAAAACATAACTGTTATCTATCAATAGTTAAATTTAGGTACCTGACGTACGAAGCGAGCATCCCTGTACGTATCCAACCTCCCAGTGTTCCAAATCTCTACGATCCTGGACCAGGTTCGTCAATGACCTGAACCAGGTGTCTGTCGCCATAGTAACTGGTGTTGGGTTACATAATGTTGCAATTTTATAGCAAGAGGGATGTACACTCCTGTCACCATATATGAATGTGTTTGAGTAAGAATTAACAGAGCAGACCATATGCGAAGGTTAACATTATGCATTTGCGTTGCAAATATTACCTTTGTCTAACTGATTTCTTTCCTAGAATATTGAATAACACTTTCCTAGAATATTGAATAACGTTGCCAAAACTGAAATTCTGTCCTCTAAAAACAGACGAAGACATCGCGTCCAAAGTGACCGTGATCACCAAAACTTTTCTCCGGTATGCTTCCATCCGGGCTCTTTTGGCCAGCATCCGGGCATTCTATCCCAACATCCGGGTGATTGTGGCTGATGACAGTCGTCCAATAGAAAACCTTCAGGCAGATCACGTGGACCATTTTGTGATGCCGTATGCTCTAGTAAGTGGCATTTTTGGTTTATTGCAGAAAGAAGCACATTTGCACACATAATGTCAGTAGACATTAGAATAGAAATTGACTGTAGCTACGAATCTAAAATCACACAAAATACAGTGGCACGCGTAACCTAGCTAAAACCACTTTAAGCACAGTACAACGAAGATAAAAGAAAGTTATTGAATTTTTTGCCCCCCTAGTGGCTTTCCTTGGCATTGCAAAAGAACTTCTTCGAAAATCCGATAGGGGTGACATAACTTTGCAGCTGCTAGCAACTTTCTTTGGAACTGCAGGGGGGCGTATTGTTGCAGGCTTTGACACAGGATAGCAATGTAATAGATGCCTAGCTAGATATTTGTGATTTTTCGTTTGATGTTTTATTGAGAACCAGCATATAAATGACTTTAATATTGGCTTAATTTGTGTAACATTTCATTTTAAAAATGTCCATCTTAACCCCCAGGGTTGGTTTGCGGGTAGAAACCTGGCAGTTTCACAGGTGACCACGCCTTACTTGGTCTGGGTTGATGACGACTTCGTGTTCGGCAAGAGGACAAAGTTGGAAAGACTGGCCAGTGTTCTGGACAATACAACCTTGGACTTGGTAAGTTACAATAGCTTCATGTTGAAAAAACTGAAATAAAGACAAAACTTTCCTTCCAACACTGGAATGAACCAAGGACTTACGTCAGAGAAACGTGACCGTAGTAGCAAGTCATACGTGCCAGATAACTTGTGTCGCCCCCCGTCTCTGTATCTGGCACATATGACCCACTACTCACGTGTCTCTGACGTCACGTTCCAAGAGTAGACGAGTCCATTCCGTGAACAAGGTTGAAAGAGTCAGCCGAAAATTTAGGATAAGTCCCTGGTTCATTCCAGTGTTGGAAGGAAAGTTTTGTCTTTACTTCATAAAGTTTGTGTTATTGTTTGTGTAGGTTTCTGGCAAGGCAGGTTTCGGCAAAGTGAAACACACGAAGATGACGGTCGTCCCAGGCGACAGAGACGGCGACTGCCTGCTCATACACGACCGCCGACACTGGGGACAAGTCCCGGGGTTTCCACGGTGTTATTATTCCACCAGAGTCACCAACTTCTTCATGGCCAGAACGGACAGCGTTCGCGCGGTTGGATTTGACCCGAAGTATACCAGGCACGGACACACGCGTAAGCACGCCTAACAACGGTTACTCGAGCAACTGGATATGATTTTAGAAATGGTCAGACGTTTCAGGTAGTATCCACTACCAGTGACTCTAGACAATTTGTGTAGAAATGCAGGTTTATAAGCGAGCAAAAACCATTTCCAAAATCATAACCAGTTGCTTGAGTAAGTAAATAGCCTGGAGGCTAGACTACATTATGTTTACCGACGGAAACCACATTGTTTTGCTCAGTTTCTTCCTCTTCTTCATCTCCAAACAAATAAGGTCAATGACCTGAGCCAGATATCTGTTACCATGGTAACTAGTGTTGGGTTACATCATCATGTTGCAATTTTATAGTAGGAGGGATTTAGTATAACTATTTATCAATTGATGGCTCTGGTGCAATATATGCGAGCTATAACAGTTTATAATACAGGTATAACAACATGTTTATACTTTTGTTTGTTTATTTGTTTTTTGTTTACAGAGTTTTTCGTAGCTGCGATGGGGAAACTCAAAATGGCCGCTTGTGATGACGTCAGAATTGGTCACAGGAGAACGCAAACGATGGAATATAACGTCTTCCGTTACCAAGGTGAAGATTACCAACAAACGCAATGGAAATATGAGTACTTCAAGTTCAATATCAAATGCCACCTTTGGTTCACCGACTCAGAGAATTGTACAACGAATAGCTACTATAAATGTAATCCAGTCGATGGTGGTTTTTATCTTTCGTCGGTGGAACGAAGTGCTAGTACAGTTAACGTCGGTGAAGTTTAGACATCCAGGTAATAAGATACGCCGAAATGCAGTTACTCAAGAAAATGGATATAATTTTGGAAAAGGTCAGACGTTTCAGGTAGTATCCACTACCTTTCGTCAGTGAATCTAGAGAACTTATGCAGAAATGCAGGTTTATGAGCAAGAACTATTGATTGATATACAAAACAAGTTGAGACAATTTTTTGGAAGTCCAAAAGGAAACAAAAGCTAGACAAGGATGATGCAAATTAGTCAAAAGCTCAGTACAGTCAAGCTTGTACAAGTGACCACTTTTACATAACCACCTGCATTGCCAATGTGACCACTTTCTGGTGGTGCCTTAGATAATTCTTAACATTGACACAAGCATCAAGAAACCAGTCTGTAGTGACCACCTGTCCACATAGTCATAGACCAGGGAAAAGGGCGTTATAATTAGATATTTCTTCCAATTGTACACCAAGCATCTAGTCTGTAGTTACCACCTGTGTTTGGTGCAATGAAGGCCTTTCTCAATGCCTTAGCAATACTATGCGCTAATTTTTAGTTTAGTAAATTATATAAATGCGCTTTGTGCTATAGAAATGATTGGTTTTAAAAACCGCTTTAGAGTCTTTTAAGTCTTTTTAGAGTCTTAAGTCAATTAAGGATAAGTGTCATGTAATCGCAACGCATAAAAGACTGGTCTCCCGGGGTCTATTCTTGGAGCCTAACACCATTGAACCACATTAGAAACGGTTACGCATGGTTTCACCGAACTACGGCGAGTTTCAATGAAGTCAGACTTATTTTTGTCCCCACAGAACAAGTGACAGGAGTATCAATGTCGCGTTCGAAATCACATTAGGAATACGACGCCATTTTGTTGACATCCGGGTCAGTGACGCAGATCTGTTAAGCCAATGAGATGAAGCGGATCATGTTCGGATTATTCCAATCAAAACCAAGGGGCGTGAAGGATCATTGTATTGGTGTGGTTTAAACTGTTTTCCGAGGAAGAAATTTCGGCTATCAAAGTAAAGTTTAAAAAGATCTACCATTCTTTTTTATTTCTGCATGTTATGACTAGCTGAGTTTACAAATACCTTTGGCAATACCAGAAACTGAATTTATTTTTACAAGTCGTATTATAGCTTCAACAAAAGACTATATTATCGCTTGCCTAAGACACTTGTATAAGCTTTAAGTAACGATGAAAAATGATAAATTTATGAATTTTGAGTCCTGAATTACACGCATGATTTCTCTTTCGACATACCATCAGATACAGGGTAAAGTAACTACCGTAGTTCCCTCTCTACAACTAGAAGCCTTTTTGTTTATTATTTCACAAAAGCTGTGGATATTAAATGTCCTAACGGGCTTTAAGTATATCCCTTCATGCTTACCAGGCGTGAAATTGCCGATAAGAAGTCGCCGGGGAGTAAAATTATCCCGCCATTCGTTAAGTAATTCTTTACTTGAACTCACAAGACCTGGAATTTTTCTACTGAGTTTTCCTTTAGCCATACACACCCATCGTATCCAGAACCGTGTCATATCTAGAATTATGGTTTTATGCCTGAATTGGTAAGGGTTAGGATCAGGAACGGTTCTAGATAGTCTTCGCGTATCCAAGAACTGTAGGTTTGCCCCACAGGCACGGTTTTGGATACGCGTGGACTATCCAGAAACTTGCCTGACCATAGTTCTGGATAAATCACGGTTCTGGATACGCGTGGACTATACCAGAACCGTGCCTGAGCAAAGTTCTGGGAGAGCAGTCGGTTTTAGATACGCGAGTGGACTATCCAGAAACGCTCCTCACTATAGTTCCTGATAAAGCAATGAGGTTTAAACCTCTTTGGATAAAGCAAGCCTGACCATGGTTCTGGATAAAACACGTTTTTTGGATACCTATGGATTATCCAGAATCATACCTTAACATATTACCTATTCTGGATACATCAACCTAGGAGCCCCCCCCCCCTCCAAGTTGTGTATCGAAGCAACGCAGGCATCTAGCGTCTCGCGAACACAAAACCACGCATGGAGGTAACACAAGCCCCGTATCGCTACCTTTGTGCGCCCGCTGTTACATTGTTTGCATTGTTCCCCTTCAAATGACTGGGGTCGACCGGTGTCAAATACCCCCTACCCCTCGTACAACGATCAGTTCACTCTCAAAAAGGGGGCCGAACAAAAATATCATTAAAACTTTCCATTTTTAAACAGTGATAATCTACATTCTGCCATAATTTTACTTTCATGCATATATTAAACTGATGACGTCTTTTCCTCTTGTTGAGTTAGACTTAAGTAAAACTTAATTTTAAAGAAGAATAAAAAGGATGGAGTTAACGTTTACACCTTTTTGAGGCAATAATGGTAGGTTCCTTACACGACAGGTAGCCCCTTTCACCCTGTACCACTGGTTTCTAAGGCGGCGTGTTTATGTAAATAAGCCGTGAAAAAAGTCAGGCCTGAAACTCTTCAGCCACTGTCAGACCAAGGCAAACACTTGTCTGTGTTCAAATCGTTCAAATCCGAAGACAAAAAGTTCCATCTACGAGGATCTACGAAGAGTGACGATGTTGCATTTAGGGGTGACTCCCGGGAATCGCAGGACGTATGTCCGAGCGCAGGACAGACTGCGGTACCTGCTGTACTCCACCAAAATGGACGACTTGCACCAGCATGACTTCGAGCACCTACCCTTCATTGAGTGGGTCGTACATCGTGAGTATATTTCACAAAATTATACTTTTTTTATATTTTAGGGGATCTTGGTGTTGCTAGAAAACAAGAAAACAGTAGCATTCTTCAATGGTCAGTGAACATGTGGTGTTCCACTATGTTGGTTTTTCATTACCTAAACTCCCCATTCGAACACTTACCCTTCATTCAATGGGACGTACGTCTTGAGTATATTTCACAAAATTAGACTATTTCATATTTTAACGTGCTCTTAGTACAGTTACTTTGAAAGAAAACTGTAGCATTTGCCCATGACCAGTGAACATGTGTCCATTCCATAAAACTAATCATCTGAACACCTATACACTTCATACTGAATGGGTGTGTATACTTCACAAATTTGGATTCTGTTTTATTTTAACGAACCCAGTGGTCCGGCACTGTTGTGGGTTTTCTATTTGCTAAAACTAATCTCCCCAGTGGCCCATTGCTTTACAAATAAACTTTATTGCTCAACATCGTACAACGTACGAATTATGGCAACTACTGGTACTTAACTACAGTTCCATAAGGCTAATCTACCTAATACAAAAGTGTGTAGTATAGAATGAGAATGAAAATGTAGTATAGGATAAAAATGGGTTTTTAGAATTATTGGAGGAATTTCTAACATGTGGACAGTTACGTTGTTGGTTTCCCATTCCCTAAAACTATTTGATTGTCAGACTACTTCTACACTCGACCTTCGGTACACTTATAAGAGAGTTTTGTTGTTGAGAACAGAAGTTTGTGGGTTTTGTGAAGTGCTCAAATATTTCCTCTCGTCCTCTCCTTAAGTCCGGAAACACGTACGGACGTTTCGGATCACGTCAAATGTTACCTTAACGGTACAATGAACACGGCACATTCCAATACTGTTGGCACCCTTACAATATAAACTGCACTCTACGTTCACAAAATCCACTTTACAACGTTACAAACATTTAGAGAAATACAAAAGTATATTTGACACAGGAACATAGTTAACTAGTTAAAGCCTAATTTGTCAACAGAAGCTAAATGTTAATATTCTAATCTATAATGACTAAAATGGTTGATAATTCAGATCATATAGTTGAATAGCACAGCATGCGATTATAGAAGTAAATCTACACTATATTTGTTCTATCTCTATAAATTTAATATGCAGCTTGCGTTTTTATTATGATACCGTTCCTACATTTATAGCATCAATCTATAATTTAATCAACTAATTTGATAACCCAAAACCTTATCTATTCTTATCGTCAATGTTTGTGTACAAAACAGCGTCGTATCTACAGCACCATGACTTTTTAATGAGAGTTCGATGTTCTATAGTTCAAGTGTCCGTCACACATGCCCACCTGGGCGATCTTATCAATGATAAATACACATTTAACGGATCCCTTTCTACTCAGTACAGTAGCCGACATTGTGTTACTTTGTAAGCTACCCTCTATTTTTAGCTTGAGGTAGAATTTCTTTTGTAAAGTAAGTTCAAGGTACAAACGACCAAGGGGACTACCGTATTGTAAATTATTGATAAGTTACCTATTCCAAGGACAGGAATCTGTAGTATGTTAGTATTTAATCTATAACTACATTGTAGGAAACCGCTTTGCTATCATAGTACAAACGTGCACATGGATATACAGTGTTTCTATTCTCTGAAGCATTGTTTTAGCTTTGAGATACCGAGTCAAAAGTTAAAATCTTTCTAACACATTTCGGTGTATATGGTGGTGCCTATCTCCACTTCTATAGCCCTTTGGCCACACAATTAGTTGTGCAAGCACTACAGCAGGGGGCTAGTCCACTGGTAGTAATGTGCGTTAAACTACCATACCCTTTCTCATAAGATCTGAATGCTAAGCATAGAAAGCAGTCTTTGATATATATGACCCGGTCTGGGTTTGAACCCACAACCTACGAACACCTGGTCACTTCTCTGTACCGCTAGTCACTACACCAACAATTAAAAGTGGCCTTGAGATGTTCCAACTGTCGAAAGTTGTAAACTTCCTCTATCACTCACGGCCTATTAGTCGGCAATTAAGTACCGATGAAGGTGATAAGCCTTTACTAATTGCCACCAAATACTTGCCCAGTGTATACGGCCCAGTTAGAAAGTACAAAACGCAGCCCGATGTATTTGTTACTACTTTGTAAAGGGGCGCTGCTGGTGTTGTTTTTGCCGTATTGTGTAGAATGGGGGGGAATAAGGGTGTAGGTGGGATAAGGGGTGGGGTGGATATGCCTCATTTGTAGTAGGAGGGGCAGCAAACTGTTATTCTTCCTAATTAGATGACCTTGTTATTGTGGACAATACTAATGTTGTTTACCTAAAATCCTTAGGGACAGGTTAAGATACATGCACATGTACAGTGGTTTAGGGACACCTGTACTTGTAAGTTATAGTATACACGTGGCCAACTGTCTATTTGGAGGCGGATTTTAGCTTTGTATATATGAAATGGTTTACATGTTTGTAATCCCAAAACAGGACAAAACAAGAGCACTTACGTTGTCCTAATTTTAAGTTCTACATTGTCGAATTTCTGTATATATCTGTCCCCTCTGAAATGAGATTTTTTAAATTTTAGGTACAACTACAATCGACGTTTAGTAGGGACCTTAACCCCCCCAAAATGTATTGATACATGTGCTTGACGTTTAAGTCGGTACCTGTACCTAAACAATATTACAGGAGCAGTTACAAGTACTAGATACACAGTCCCAGTGTATACCGTTTCCTTAGTGTATACCGTACCTTAACACTTTTACAGGAGCACGTACAAGTACTACACACACAGTCCTACTGTATACCGTTTCTTTCATCCTGTATGTGCCCTCACAACAAAGCGACATAACTTAATCCAAAAGCATATTTTCTTTTCCACTTGCAATGTTGTGAAAGTAAACTATGACAATCAAAAGAGGTTACAGACCTTTGGAAGTGATGTAAACTCTGTTGAACTGTCGCGAACATAAGACGAAAACTTTTCTATGCCGCCTCTTTCATGTATGCAAAACAAAGCGTCCGTCGCGGGTGGTTTGAGTTCAAAACCATAACAATTAATGCTGTTGTTGTAAAGACAGAATTTCTGTGTCAACCTCGGTCATTTCCACTTCTTCTACCCGTGTTATAGTGTCATTGCCCTCGTAAGGTACAAAAATAATCAAGTTTAATTGTTTTTAACGTGTCCAACATTCGCTGGGTCGTTTTAAAACACCCCAAAGTTTAAACATACATGTAGAAGTTCAATGTTAACTGCTGGTATCAGTATTACGCGGAATGTTGCGTGGTGTGGGGGAAGGTTGCTAAGAAAATAAACAGTTCTGCGTTGCTACCGAAAATGTCAAGGTTGTTGTTCTTGTGAATCACTGTAAAACTGCGCTGTTGAGAAATACTCTAGTGTTGTTTTTTCTCATTTGTGACTCATGTGCTGCTACAGTATCAGTATAACGTACACCTGATGTTGTATGTGTAAAACTACTCATGTTTGTCTAAGTCAGTATTTGTAATCCCCAAGGAAGGAAAACCCTAGGCCTGCACAGAAGTCCTAGCTAGTACACCATAGCATAGAAAATCTAGGGTGGAAAACACCACTGTAAAAAGTCCTACGGAGCACACCCTAGCCAAAAAAGCACGACTATCCCAAGAATGTTCTCATACTTAAATCAGTCGTATGCCAATCGCACAACAGATATGGCCAGGCCATTCACTTAAACTTGATACAATTAAGTACCCATTTTCACCTTGTTGAGTTGAGTAAGCTGTAAAGTGTAAAATAGGTATCAGTGCAATTCATACAAGGGCAAAACATTTAATGTGAACCAGTCAGAATTGCCCTGAGGAAGGTGACAGACGGTCACCGAAACGTCGGCTGAATAAAAGACTTGGTTGTGTAAAAAGAGTCTCTTAACTCAGTGTCTTACAAACCTGATTAACTATTCACGGGCCAGACATTCAAGTATGCTTGGGATTGAAACCAAGAATCTTAAGATTCCACATCCAACCTACACTGACCACAAGAACACCATACCACATGATACACCTAAGCGAACTTTTAAAAAACCAGCTGAGGTCTTCAAGTATTTCACTCCGCGCCTTTTCCTTAGCAGGGGGTCTAGTCAGGAATCCCCATCTGGGAAAAACAAACATCGCTCAATCTTTGATGTTCTTTGAACTACTTTAAGACGGTAGATGTCTCAAGGAATTAGATATAAGACACGAGTAAGATGTTTTGAATACATTGAAGTATGTTCTTTGAACTCCGTTAAGGAATACTTGGTAAATGTCTTAAGTAACTATGGATAACTTCATCCTATATGTATGCGGCAAATTACGTACAGACTATATATCAGTGGTAACAATAAAGGTTTAACTATTCTGTAACATGCAGTTTCTAAGATTGAAATGTTTTTAATGTGTTTTCCTATTTGAACACTGTATTGGTTATCTCCCCTGATATAAGGCACGAGTACGATGTTTTGGATACACGTGAAGTGTGTCGGGGAATGGGGTATAGATGTACCGGTGTTCATCCGTTAGACGCTATCTTAGTGAGAATTCGAACTGCAGAAGGAATGGACGGTGAGTTTGGGTCTCTGTGTAGATACTAAGTACCCAGATTTTTTTTTAAACTAATTCACTTTAGACCTGAAAAAATGTTCCAATATTGTGTTTGATAATCATTTGTACATTCAAAAAGGGTGCTTTGTTACGTTATGGTAGTTTTGTCCACATTTTACGGGAATTGACAATTGGGCTTTGGATTTTTGCAGCGTCAAAGGTACACGATATTTTTCTAAACTTTCCTATGCGTAAAGCTAAAAGACGCACTGCAGAACTTTTAAAGTTTTAAGTCTTTGGTATGACCTGGCCAGGGTTCGAGCAACACCATGCTTACTAACACGGCCTTGAAAATTTTTAACTGTCAAGAAATGTAAACAGTTTTATCTTAAGTTTATCCTGCACGGACCATTACTTAGCCATTACAAGCCGATAATAGTGATTAGCTCATGCTAATTGCCATCAAATACTTGCCCTGTTTCGCGGCTCAGTTAGAAAGTACAATTCGCGCCCGGATGTACTTGGTACCGTTTCGACGCTACAATATCGATGGCATGACAGGATTCGAACCCGGGACCTCTTGGTTACGCTACACGACCCGACATTCCACCTGGACATTCATAACTATTTCCGTATTATTCCCTGCAGACCCCATGAGTGTAGAGCTACAACAGAGATGGGACTATGGGAGCATTTTAGATTTTACGAAAGTCGTTGTATTTCTATTTGTCAATAAATATTTCTGTCTTTTGCTTTATTTTTTGCAGACCCGATGAGTGTAGAGCATCAGGCCATCCTCCTGCGTCACCACAGTACGCTAGTGAGGGAACTCAACACACTCAAACCCTCCAGACTCTTCAGTTTCCTTATCGGCAGGAAAGTCCTCAACTTCCAGGACGAAGCAGTCATACTACATAGAAAGGTGAGTTAGAAATGTCTTTAATGGGAGGAAAGATCTCATACTACATAGAAAATTAAGTTAAAATCGCCAATATCAAAATCTTTATTGGGAGGTAAAATCCAAGACGAAGCCATCTTGCTACATAGAAAGGCGACTTAGAATTTGCATCTTATGCTACAAGCAATTTCAAACCGATGCCCAATCGGGTAGCTTAAGTGCTGTGTTGAAGAATAAGCTGCCGCTTTGACTGTGATTTGTCAATTTGGTTTATGTACATCAAATCGTGAAACTTACAACAACAGATATGGCACAAAAGCCAGAATCACTCCTAGCAGAAATTTAGATGCATCCATATTAAAATTGTTTAGAATGCATCAACCGATGGATGTTACAAAATACGTTCTTCTAAAACGCATGAAAAAATAAAACAAACTTATTTTGCATAGGCTGATATGTTTTGGCAGTGTATATGTCGTTGTCCCTTCGGTTGACGCAACCGTAGCGTTTGTTGGTTTAACCAACCCTTGGTGCACGAATGTAAACAAAACAAAATCTCTTTTCTCTGTCCCACGACCTGTTCTGAACCCGGCGGATTTACCTTTATGTGTTTGGTAAGAATGATACAATCACAATAAAACCGCTACACAATTGATTGAACAGTAAACAACGTACGGTTCAACACCCTTTACGCTTACAGTGCGGTCATATTCGGTCATTTTCGTAAGTTGTGCTACTCTCCAAGTAGAGGTTTAGGGTTATTTTTGGCGTATTTTTAGGCTTATTTATCGGGGTTTCTTTTTTGCACTGGAATTTTTTTCACCCAATGAAAAGAGATTCCAGTGCAAAAAAGAAACCCCGATAAATAAGCCTAAAAATACGCCAAAAATAAACCAAACCTCTGCTTGGAGAGTAAAGTTGTCCTACCATGTCGTAGAATTTTTAAGCAGGCTGCGGTACAACCAATTAACTGCTGACAATGATCTAAGTCAGTCTTTTCTACAGATGATGAGTAGCATAAGAATGGCTTCAATTTGCGATGCATACTACAATACGAATTTGGCCAGCCCCTTGGCGAAGTAAACAACAAATCAACATAACCCAATGAGAATTCAATTTTCCCAGCTTGTATTTGGAAATAAACTGCTTTTATTTACCCTAAATATTTGTATGTTTGTTGCTAAGACTGGGAAAGACATCGTGACCCAACATGTGACACCAGACAAGCGACAGATGCGTTCAAAACTAGACACTGTGTGTATCCAATACAGGTTATCATGATGTTCCCTCAATGGTCTCTTTCAACACTTTGTTTATACTTAAGGACTAAATTAGGGCAACTCAGATCTTGAGGTTAGATATGCCTTTGTTGAAAACCTGAAGCTACGGTTTAACAAAAGACCCACTGATCTAGCGTGGCAAGCGATATGCCACGAAACTTCAAGTTGATACATTGTATCTATCGGAGTATTTTGTCAACTTCGCTGTAAAAGAAGATACAAATGTAGCACAAATCTTACACCCGTCCTTGCGTGTAAGCTACATATTTGCTACACGAATGTTGCATTTTTTTCCGTTCGCATGGCTTAACCGGTTTGAGATTTAAAAAGATGATTGTGTCCTAAATAAAATGAGGGCATCCAAACACACCTGTCTGAAAGATACATTAACTAAATTACCTCCCTGTGGTAGTATCATTTCAAGGTGTATTTTCCTAAGCTATTCTTTGCTTCGTTACGCTCTATCTAAAGCCAATAGCTTGAATAGCTTAAAGGATTACGTTTTGTGTGATTTGGATTTAAGATCAAACAAGCCGTGCCATTATTGAATGTATCAAATAATGATGAGTGAGACAGACTACTTAGTGGGTAGGTGGCGGTGTAATACAGTAGGGATATGGAGGAAAATGTTCCCTTTGTGTATCAGTGTGCCTCCTGTCAATGGTACTGACTGAAGCGACGACGGATGGGATTATCTTGTCTTATGATATCATCCCTGTGGGGCTATCTTATTATAGTCCAAAGTGATAAAGCTTTAAACTAAGAATTTTTGGCTACGCCTCTGGTGCGGATTCTCTAGGGTAGTATTGTTCAAAAGCACAAACTTTGGCACACACGTAGTTTCATTGTTATGCGTTTGAAACACTTAAGTCTTACTATGGGTTGTACAAAATGTAGTAAAAATGTTCTTAGTCCCAAATGACTTTCTTATGTTTAAAGCAACGTATAACTATGAGATAAAACCCGTTATTGACTTAATGTATTTTGTATTTAAATGTAACGACTCTTTTCCCGCATGTTTACAGAGTTCAGAGTTCGCAGTGAAAGCAGCGTTTCTCCACATCCTAAAGTTGAAAGGGGACCGCGCCTTCAAGGCGTTTTGTGGCTGTTCTGTGGCTACATTACACCGAACGACTTCTTACACCCAGCCTTTGAACATCTACCTCTAAACATTGTTTAAAGCGATCTCGTGATGATGCCCCTACTGTACACGTAGCTCATTGAAATTGACCTTATTTAACGACTTTTCTCTGCATGTTTCGCCCTGAACGCACTATCACCCTGTTTATGCACAGTTTAATACATAGGCTTTTGAGACTGACTTACAAAGAGAGGCTACATCTAATGTTAAATCCATTAATGTTTTTCAGAGCTCAGAGTTTGCAGTGAATGCAGCGTTTCTCCACATCCTGAAGCTGAAGGGAGACCGCGCCTTCAAGGCGTTCTGTGACGGGCTCAGGTCGCGCTGCGGGGCTCACCAGGGGTATCTGGCAGAGCTACTGGAGGGTACGATAGGGGAAAACATGTCAGGTAAAGCGGCATTTTATTTACTAGTTTTATTCGTCCCTTCCAACGGTACAAAATCGCAGGGCTCCCTTATAAGTATCCTGAATTGGTTTGTCGTACAGAGTTTACAATTGCGAACGGAATATATTACTAAAACATTAAAAGATACACTCAGGTTCATTGAAATTTTAAAGCTAATGTATGTCAGGGTAGAGACTATGATCCGGTAGAATTGGTGATTCTACCAGCACAGATTCCGATCTGAGATTTTGAAATATTTGCATACAACACGGAACTTTTCAACTTTATTTCGTGTCACTTTAAATTTAGATACATATTAGTAGTTGAACTTGAAACTTAGAATTTGTAAATGGGAAATCATCCTAACACATTAACATAATCCTGATCAGAGTCTCTGTTGACAAAGACTTCGATCTGGATCTTTACTCGTAAACAGTTACTCAAGCAACTGGATAGATTTTGAAATCCAGTTGCTTAAGTAATTGTTTTCTTGTGTATCTCTGTCATTACCAGGATGTATAACCTTCATCGACATACATTTTAACATGATTTTCCCGTAAGATTATGTATCAACTTTATCTTGATAAGTTTTAACTTTATTTTCCTGAACTACAGATCTCATAGACATCTTCAAGATCGTGTCCTATCACGTGGCTCTCGCGAGACCTCTGGGTTGGGCCGCGCTGCCGCGAGACTTGGGCGTGCCCGTACGCGTCATCGAGTCGTGTAAACGGGAAAACAGGTCAGTAAAAAATACTGAGTAGAAGCCTTAAAAATTCAACCTTCCTAAAAATTGATAAATAAAAAACTGTGAAATGTAAAAATAATATTTTGGAGATGCGGGGTATCGATCCCCGTACCTCTCGCATGCTAAGCGAGCGCTCTACCATCTGAGCTACATCCCCTGCTGACATAAACCGTCGGAGTATCCAAGCTACAATGTATCCATGGAAGGAAAAACGCTTACTCAATTGATTAAATACCTAGAGAGACAGTTGACTCTGAACCAAGCGTAAACCAGCACCACGAGACCACGTTTAGCGGCGGTATATTGGACTTGAAATAAGGATAACAACTAACTATGTTTACCATCGCAAAATAAAAACATTCTTTTTCGAACACGTAAGGTCAATGACCTGGACCAGAAGGCTGTCACCATGGTAACTGGAACTATAGTCTGCTACAGTTCCAGTTACCATCCTGTGGTGTTGGATTACATTATGTAGCAAGTGGCAGGGGCTGTTCACCATATACAAAAAAGTACATGAATGTGTTTCTGAACAAACAGCAATTGTTAGGCTGGACCATGTAAAGGTAAACATCACGCATTCGCTTTGCAAATGTAGTTTATGGTAATAAATAGTAGAAATGAACAGAGCAGTAGAGCGCCAGGCCAACTGAAGGTACGCATTAAGCATTTGTCACCTAGCAAATGTCACCTTTCTACGTATCTGTTGTTTCCCTAGACTTTCGAGGGCACACACACACACACACACACACACACACACACAAACACACACACACATTTGCTTACCTTTCTTATCTGTTATTCCCCCAGACTGGGCTCCCACCGGCTTGTACACTGCCTGATCCGGTGGATGGACTGTCGCACGGACGCCGAGCGGCTACTGGACGAGCTGGTCAACTCACTCTACAGACTCAACCTGGGATACGTCGCAAGTAAGTCAGACATTGGTCAGAACAAGGAGGTTATAGTAGTTAAGGTTAAATACTAGTATCAGGTTCTTAAATCTCCTTGGTAACAAGAAGGATTAAAAGAGACTTCTTGGTTAGAAGTACCATCAAAAAGTCTATAAAGTCAAAATCCCCCTCCCCGTTATTGTTCAATGGTGATTAGCATTAGACAATCACATTGAAAATTCACGCATAACTTGGAATTATATTATGTAGCAAGTTGCAGTAGAGTTCAAGGGGCGATCGCATTGACGTCACGGTAGGCAAAAAGCGGGTGACGGTTGGTTGATAGTTTGCATATAGCTTCAAATACTAAAAAGTAATTCGCATGTAAGCGTTATATCATGTAAACAAAGAGAGCGATCGCTTGTATATATATTATGGACACATGAAGTTGTTTAAGCAAGGACAGTATATAGAGATATCTCAAGAGAGATATATCTCTATATGATGTTTGAGAAGAATAAACAGAGTACATGTAACGTTAAGTTAGTTTGTTAGGCTAGACCATGTGAAGGCAAATATTATGTAGTACATGTAACGTTATAACGTTATATTACGTATATGCTTTGCAAATGCTACCTTTCTATATGACTCCTGAATCCGTACCTGCTAAAATAGTTAAACTGTTCCTCCCGTAGACGGTGTAGAGGCCCTGAGAGTGACCATGCCACAGGAGGGCGAGTCTGAGACGTCAGAACTGACCGCTGCCGACATCCCTGTGGTCAAAACCACCGTCCACACCAAGGTGCCCGGGTCAGAGGTCGCAGACAGCGTCATGACAGGTGAAAGTTCAAAGTTCGAAATAAAGTTCAAGGTTAAATCAAGGAGGTTTATAATAACAACTTCAAAACCCGTTCCATTAATTAAAAATTATGGTGGACATAAATAAAGTTCATAAGAGGTTGCAGACAGTATCATGACAGGTAAAAGTTCTAAGACGAAAAGTTTTCGAACATTTTTCAAAATGGCGGACACAAAATTATTGATATGCAAATATGTAAACCGTGCTCTGATTGGTTGATACCATGGCTCTGGGCTTGAGTCAGAATTAACAGAGCAGACCATGTGGGAAGGTAAACATTATGCATTTGCTTTGCAAATGTTACCTTTCTAGTTATATATATTACAGTTTTTAATGATAATTTTTCTATTGCAGAAGAAGACGTGAGTTTGGACAAGAGTGAGATCACAGACGGACGTTCTAATGGCAGAAGAAGTGGCGTTCGGAGTGAGAACAGTTCGGGTCATCAGAGTCGGACAGCTTCGGCAGACACCGGCGTCCACCTCGGCTCCACTCGGTCGGCGTCGGCAGAACCCGAAGTCTACTTCGGTCCCACTCGGTCCCGGACGCTGCACCCTGTAAAAGGCGGGGCTTCGGGCTTTAGGAAAGGTTTTGAGAAAAGACAAGTCCAGACGCCGGACTCAGGAGTGGCTTTGTCTGTGGATGTTAACTGACTTTCTCTATATATACATATTTATGTGTATTTTGTATGTGGGTATTTTACTACAATGTCATGAGGTTGATAGAGCATAGCCTCTTCCAGGCTTCGGGAGGTGCCTGGAAAGAGTAGAAATCGGGCAAATAGAGAGATAGCATGCCGAACTGTTCTCTTCAGCAGACCTAGGCATCAATAAAGATTGGTCAGAAGTGCCAAGAAGTCTATAACGCCCTCCGCCCCCAAAGTTTCTGCTCAGTGAAGATTGGCGAGTTAAGAATTAACTAACACAAACAAAAACTGAAATATACGTACATGTAGTCTAGCTATTTCAACAGCAGTTTTCAATGATTATCTTAGTAGTTCCCCTTAGTAGTAACCCGAAGGTTAGTTACATACTTTTTTTATTATTTTGTATTGCCTAGATAGTGTGGGAGATTATACGGTGCCTGTTTTGTACTCTTGGGGAAAAAGCCATCCTGAAGCTAAATATACCATGACTAAATCTGGTAGCGATACAAGGACGCCCTCTTGCGATGCTAAAGGGGACCGCAGCTAGTGTACCTACTAGTATATAGTAATCGTACATTGCAAGAAAAATCTGTTGTCTCACGTAAAAAGGATATTCTTAGGATTGTAACAAAGAAAACAAGGAATTTTGTTTAGTTTATGAGAAAATTGAATATGAGATTATGAGAAAATTATTGGTATTGTTTATTTTTGGTATTTGTATGTACGCTGTGAATAGCATTTGTGGAAAGCAAGTCATTTCTGTATACATTTTGTATATTATATGTGTACTCATATTTTGTGCCATGTTTAAGTATCATGTGATATTTTGTATCAAATGAGAACTTTTGTTGTGTGCGTTTAAATAAATATAAGATTTTTTGAGCACTTTCATCGTTTTAAATTAGTTCAATATTTTTAATATACCTATAAGACCAATGTCCCCCTTTCTTTGAAACATACATTTTTGCAACATCTGAAAATACTCAGTGCAAGAAAACGTGTTTAGCCATCACATGTCGAGGCACACGTTACATACTACATGCATATGGACGGACACCAAGTCTCTATTACTTGGTACTATGTACTGGTGGCAACGTGCTACCGGTGACTCTATAGGCCATGGCCATTTCTTTACGATAAAAAAAGCCCATAGCCTTTTAGAATGTATAGGTCCAGTGTAACCTCAAAGCAGATCATACGGTGGCAAGGTAGTATCCATTGGCTAGAGGAGTGTCCATTCGGTGGCTAATGGATACTTCTCTGGCCAATGAAAGGTGGAGCCCATCCCTCTCCTTACATACTCTTTTATCTCCCCAACCGAAGCCAGGTTGTTATGCTTCGTCTAAAGTATTAAATTCGACCTAAGAAAGAGAGGGAGAGAGAGAAGGACAGCATTTCTATTTACTAAAACAAAATATAAAAAATAAGGGTTGCTCGACCATTCTTCCCTTAGCCTGGGTGCCTCCCATACTCGCTTCCTAGGAAATATTTCTTTAGGAGCCCCAGTATACAAATACAATGGTACCACAGGCCCCAGGCTATTGGTCACTCGCGTGAATGACCTAAATTCACTTTTTTTTCTCTCCGCTCCAAGCAATTCTGCTGCTGCTTTTGGAAGTTCCACAGACGATATTAAATAATTACTTACACGTGTCATGTGTGGGTGTAGGGAGTGGTATATTAAAAAGGCACATGTATGCGTACTGTAACAGAACTCAATTTCGACATAATTGTTTTTATAAAAATGGAGGTCCTTTTATATTACATTTTAGAATTTAATTTCCAGACTCAAAGGTAACCGGCCTGTACATGTGCTACAGACTTAGCAAGAGCCACAGTACATCAGAAATGATTTTTTTTTATGTCAGGGACATCCGGCCGACAGAGAAATAACAGAGAATCTTAACACACACACACAAACACACACAGAGAGAGAGAGAGAGAGAGAGAGAGAGAGAGAGAGAGAGAGAGA